CTTGAATCAACTATGTGCCTGATAAGAGTTGATTTTTCTTGAAGAGATTTGCAAGGCAGGGTCCACGTTTGCCAAAACCGCAGTTGTTGAGAATGGATATTGTTGCACAGACACTGAGTGCCTAGCCAACCAGTTTGCCATCCAATCCCAACCATGGCTGGATTTCTGGTCAGATCAAAATGCTTGATTGGCTTCTGTGTGTGGTCCAGCACTTTGCAAGGTTAGGCGGCAACAGCCTGGGAATCGTTGTCTCCAAGGTGTGCAGTTTGCTGATTTTGTTCCACACAGTCGATTTGCAATTAGCTTGACCAACTTTACCAGGCGTCTTGTGTGAGATTCCAACCCTTGACAGCTGTTGATCTTTCATCACCGACATGCAGCTCTCTCGACCATAGCTGCCATGGCTTGTTCCACAGTTTTGAGGATGAGAGCACTTGACAGCCTTGATGATGTTGATGCCTTTGTTTGCAGGTATTTCCTCCGACTGCATTGGTTTTGCTTTCCCTGCTGCTCTTAGTACTGGCTGGCTGCAAGACCATGCACAAGGGACCGCGGGGGTGGGGGGAGGCACGACTGGGTTGATAAACCTGCGCGAGTAGGGAATAGGCATAGGCATAGGGAGTAATAATCAAAGAAATACGCACTTCACTTCAGCCTTTGTCTCAGCTTGCTAGGTGCAAATACTTTCACCTGGTGTTCACAAGTCTAGCTTTTGAAGGTGTGCACACAAAGTACCCTCTTGTTTCATCACTATCAACTTTATAAGGACCACTTCAACCAGCAAATGCATCGGTTCCAAAAGCATTCATGTGCGCATGCATAAACTGCAATGAATATACAAAAGAAACAATGCTTCCTTGCAAACGAGCGTCAATCGAATCATGGCTTTCAGATCATTGGTACAATGTAGTGACCAGCATCAAGCAGCAGCATCATGAGATGGCCATATCAATCACGAAAGCCAGCTGATAGGCATGGCTGAGTCCTCGATGGGCAAACAAGGTTAGTAATAGGGTGTGTGGGGGGGCGGGGCGGTTGTAGGACTGTGCCCGCCGGGTAGGGTGAACGCAGAGCTTGGTGGGGGAGAGCGAACAAAAAGAGGCGGCACGGCACACACACAGAAGGTAGTGAAAATGTATGCTTTCAGGGGTCTTGGTGATGCGAGTGATGCAAATGACGCTGAGTCGTGCATCAAACTTAGCATCACAAAGTGCTCAGGAGATTATTAAAGTGGTCTACTGAGGTGAGCTGACCAGGTGTGTGAGTCCAGGTAGGACAGGCGAGTGGACGATCGCTGCATTCTTATCATATGAAAGGAAAGTAGCGCTTGACTTTCATTGCTCTAGTAGCTGAGTTGAAATCACTGGTTACAGTCACGGTGCCAGACCCAGCTGTTGTATGTAAGCACATTGATTGGACAGGTTGAGCGCAATAGTCCTCCTAGAGTAGTCACTTGGGGGTGCCCTTTTATAGCGTGAAAAGGGCCCTAAGCTGGAAGAAAAAGGGCACCCCCCAGAACAGTAAATGTCTAAGGGTGGACATTTGTGCAAGAGCGTGGGATCCAAGTCTATCCCATGACCAGCGATATGGGGGTTAGTAAAGGCCTTGTGTATATCGAACCTCAATGTGAAACTTTGCGTATCTCTGCATTCCTATTTCCCATGGCTAAAAAGCGTAAGAAGTATGTGCAACTTCGACTTCTCCTTATAACAACAATACTATATTGTTGACTTTTCAATACATACGGTCACAAAATGAGAGCTTTGTTGGTGATTGGACTCAGAGCATCTCGGCAATTTTTCTGACAAGGAGTTGTGGCTTTCCGGCATGGGCACAGAGTCAAAAATGGATTGGGCAGGGCTCCTCAGTGAGTGGGCAGGATACTTGCACATGTAAGGCTAGTCAAGGCCCCAACCTAGGCGGACCTAGGCAAGATGCAAGACCCAAAAACAAGAGGCCTTCTAAGGCAGACAATCAAGCGTTCTTGTCTCGAGCCTTGCTGAAATTTGCAATCAGATGTATTCGACCTCGAGAGAACCATTTTGCAAACAGATGCAGAAGGCGGAAGGACAGGCTGAAGTTCTAATGGTTGTTCAAATGAGGGTGTCAGATACAGTACTCCTAGATGTCTGCGAGCTATGGTGGCCACAACCTTCCCAGCTGCTCCAGAGAGGAACAGCTGCTGGAAATCCAGGTGAGTGGTTTGGGTGGAGAAAAAATTGTTCTCCAAGTGCCTGATTCTTTGAGTGGAGGGGACCTGCGGAAGATCATTGGAGATCGCCTGGCACCAAAAACCGGACGACGTTTCATTTTATTGCTGAACGAATCAGAGAGACTTTGCTTGAAAAAGTCCCTTCATGAGCAAGGGTTTGTGGGGGGACCTGCCAGGTTGACCTATGTGTACATGCCTGCAAGTGTGCAGGATGCCTGGAGGTGCATCAAAGGATTCGAAATTGAGGATAGACAGATGGCATTGGATGGAATCTCGCGAGTTGAAGGCATTCGAATTCAGGAGCCGACGCACAAGAAGCAGATAGAGCTTCTCAGAAGTCTCCAGAGTCTGACGATCGATAGAGTTTTCCCCAATTGTTTGGAGGACGTCCGTTTTCCAAGGAGCCTCCAGGCCCTAAACTTGGGTGATTTCCACTTTGAGAGTCTGACAAGAGTAACTTTGCCCAGCTCCCTGCAGGCCCTGACCCTTGGTGACAACTTTGATCAGAGTTTGGTAGGAGTCGAACTTCCTAACAGCCTCCAGACCTTGACCTTTGGCAACCAGTTCAATCAGAGCTTGGCAGGAGTATTTTTGCCCAACAGCGTCCAGGTCCTGACCTTTGGTGACAACTTTAACCAGAGTTTTGCTGGGGTGACTCTCCCCAGCTCCCTCCAACATTTGATCTTGGGCAACCAATTCAATCAGAGCTTGAAAGAAGCAAACTTTCCCAGCGGTCTACAGAGTCTACCCTTTGGTGATTGTTTTGACCAAAGTCTCGAAAGGGTGCTGTTCCCAAGCAGCCTGCAAAGTCTTAGATTTGGCTGCTTTTTCAACAAGAGTTTCGCAGCAGTGACCTTGCCCAGTTGCCTTCGAAGCCTAACACTTGGAGCATCTTTTAATCAGAGCTTGGCCACCGTGAAATTGCCGAGCAGCCTCCAAGAGCTATCACTTGGTGACCAATTCAATGAGAGTTTGGCACGGGTAGCTTTTCCTGCCAACCTCCAGCAACTGATGTTTGGCAGCGATTTCAACCAGAGCCTAGCGAAGGTGAACTGGCCCGTCAATCTCCGAAGTTTGGTGTTGGGCAGCGATTTTAGCCAGAGTTTGGCAAAGGTGACTTGGCCAGCTAGCCTCCAAAGTCTGACATTTGTCGGTCAGAAGTGGAAAGGTCTTACCTTGCCCAACAGCCTCCAGACCTTGACCTTTGGCAACCAGTTCAATCAGAGGTTGACA